CCCCAAAACCCCAAAACCCCAAAACCCCAAAACCCCAAAACCCCAAAACCCCGGCAGTAGATAAAATTTGAAATAATAATATAATTATAAAAATGATATTTAAGTACACAAATAAGCAACTAGAAGGCCAGTCAGCCTTGACAAAAATTTTGGTTGTTCCTAGTAAGCCAGAGCCAATCAGTCAGAGTCTCAACTCTTTGGTACAAACTCTTAGGGCTGATAAACAAGGTTTCCAGCCTTGGGGAGCAAAGAGAGAGTTGCAACAGGATATCAAGACTGAGAAATCAGGGGGAGATGTTGGAAAGTACAAAGACACTATGATTTCTCTCCATACACAAGACAAATTCCTTCAGAGGAAGACAAATGAGGCTAAAATTGATAGAAGCCATTATTTTCATCTGAGAAATCAGCAATCTAATCGCTTCCAGCCTATATCTCTTTGCGTTAATAATGCACACCCTACTTTTCCCTCTCCTAGTACCTCTCAGACTTCTGAAATCTCAGAAAGAAGAAGTTTCGCAAGGTCTCACCCAGAAAATTCTTGAGATGTGAAAAATGCCAAAAAGAAAACATGAGTCTATGAGTACTGAACCTGTGGTCTCTCGAAGGATGATGCCTACCTCGTGAACTATTTACTCAAGAAGAACAACCTCCAACACATGGCGGAGTTGAAGAATTTCAAGTACGAACTCATTCAGAAAGAAACTAAGGTCAATAAGAAGAGGTACTTCGAGTTCATCTGAAAGTTCAACGGAACTTGTAATACCAAGTACAGAAGAAGCTGGAACTTCCTTGATCACTGCAGATCTCATTATGGGATTAGGCCATATCAATGAGATGAATGCGATCGTAGCTTCACTCAGAAAGGCAACTTGAAGAAACATAAGCTGACACATAGGAGATAACTAATTTTCCTAAAATATTTTCTTGTATCCGTTTTGATTATGGAAAATAAATATTTCAGTATTGGTGAGCTCTTTTGTTCAAACCAAAGCAACTAGTCGGGAATCATTTTTCAGTTAATTCATCCAAAACATTTCATGTTAGAATTTCTTAAACTTTAAATTATACTGAATTACTTCAGGTTCACCAAGATGGTGACCTATGCCAAATAGAAGTTCTTAGTCTTCAATAATAGTCAAAGAAGATAATATTGTGGCTATTTCATCTCTCATTATCTAGAGAAGCTTCTTTGGGATTATATAAATGCTGTAAACCTAATTTCTAGGAAGTTTATAAACAGATTTTTATGCTTATTAACTCTCAGCTTTAAAAACTTTTGCCAATCAGTTTATAGTAATAATGGATAATTTATAGAGTCTCTAGAGCTTCATTAGCTCAATTCTGGCGTTGTGAGGAAACTTCTGCTTATGGTTATTCATATTAGTAACTTTTCTGTTTCTTACTAATGTTTTACAAGTTACACCAAAATGAGAAAATACCGAGCAATGAACAAAATTATAACCATTAAGTACGAAATTACCATAATCCACTAACTTACCTCTCCTAGTTAATTCTTGAGTCTCATTTTAAAGCTTTTTCAGTGCAGTTTTTTACTATTAATGACCAAGGGGAATAACTTATTCCAAAACATAAGCCTCTCTGAATGCCTTGTTCACCAACCTTGTGAAAAATTCAAGTTTAAGTTGTAACTTACTTCAGTTCTTTGCCTACCAAGAGGAATTTCTAAAGTTCAATAATTCAATTCTGCAGACTATCGTCTGATTCATCTCCACAATGCCATCCACGAGTGCCCAGTCTCGCTCAAGGTTTAAGGAGCTATTAAGCTGTTATTCAAAGTAGTTTGGACTAGCAGATAGGAAATAAATAATCTCCAAAATGATGAATTCCCACCGCTCTGGAATAAACTGGTTTAAATTATAATTAAAGAATCAGGCTAAAAGTTATTACCATTTCGATTCTATGAATTAATCGGTTTTGATAATCAATTTACCTAATCGATCCTGGGGTTTTGGGGTTTTGGGGTTTTGGGGTTTTGGGGTTTTGGGG